CATCGGCGTGCGGGAAACCTGCCTGCTCCCCTCGCTTGTAACAGGAGGCTAAGGAGGAGGGAACACGTGCTTTAGCTCCGTTATGGTTTAGCAGATTTTAAGGGCCTAGAAAGCTAATAAGCAATCCTATTATCAGTAGATGTGTATTTGCCATGTGGAAGGCTGCATCTCAGCTAGACACTCTGTAAGGATTTATGGATCACAGCAAACACCAGCGTCCAAGGCAAGCAAACCCTCAGCCAAAAGACATCTATATACTCTTTTGTGGTCCTAGCAGTGGTCTACAAATGGTAGTTTCCCTCACTTACTTCCAGCAGCTAGACTGCATTGAAAGACACTTAAAAATGTGCAAGTCTCCCCAGCATTACTTACAGGAAAGTAATTGCTCTGTTCACCACAATGATGGCAAGCAATTGCAAATGGAAAGAGGAAGTGATTGCGAATGGAATGAAGACAGTCTTGCAGACCATTACGAAGCAGAGCACAACACGAGTATGTGTCAACAAAGCTGTTCAAAACATTTTAGATCGGCTAGGGAAAAATGCTTGTTATTTCTGTACTACATTTTCCACTGTTTATGCATGCTGCATTAAAGAAAAATGGTCAAAGACCAAAGGTAATGACAAACAATCCTCTCCACAAGTACCACCACCTGTAAAGACAAGAAACACATTCAAAGCTGACACTGTTGACTACTTGAATATGAGACACAGTTCACTGGATGGACTACTGAACACTTAAAAAGCGAGTTGAAAGTAAGGTTCTGTTCATCACCTTGCTTTGCAAGATGTTTATGTGCAAGATGTTTATGTGCACATTTGAGTAGTAGTAGTTAAAGGAAATATTTCAAGACTGAAAGCAATTTCTTCCACTTTTAGAAACAACATCTTTGTTTCCCATTAATTACAACTCATTCCATACAGCCTCTGACTACTATTAATCTTTCAAGCAATTGATAAGTATTTATACTATTTAGGTAAATATAGTTCTCATTTTGCAGTTTGCAGGAAAACCAAGGAAAGTAGAAAGGACACACTAAGAATCCTCCAAGTTTCATGTTTCTATGCTATGGTCCTAAATTGAAACTATTATCTACTTGAAAAAGAATGTGAAATCCAATCTCACTCGTATTGCTTTAACAAACCTTTTTATTTACGGGAAAAATCACAAAGGTGTTCTTGATCTAGATGTTCATCTTTTTTATTTAGCCAAAGAAACAAACCATTTTGCATTTACTCTCCTTATACAAACCATACACTTTAGCTTTCAGTATCCTTTCTAACCAAGGAAGAAACTGCATCACAAGAATCCAGTAAAAACTGTTACTTTCACATCTCTGCTCTTTCTGCTATTCAATTTTATAATTAACAGATGGATAGGTTTACGGATAGGTATATTTTTACTCTTTAATTGTGAAACTGAGATCCCACTTTCCAGCTACTGATCACAGTTCACTTTATTCAGCTACTCGCTGTAGGCTTCAGAGTTTGATGCTGAAGCCAATCAAGACTACAGTACATAGCCTTTACAAAAGGCCAAAAATGAGAACAGGCACTTAGTGTCTGCAGACTGTTTTGCATTTCAACTGTGACAAACCATTCCAGACATGCTAGGCAGCATCTCAGGGTGCAAACTTCAGATTGCTTCTATGCAGCATAACATTTTAAATGTTTTATGCCAGGAACTGAACTCTAGTCCACAGCTCCAAAGTAAATGAGCAAAAAGTACCACTACAGCGATAAAGTGCTGGTGTAGGAGCACGGTCTTTTAAAACTGTCACCAATCATCAGGATCCTGGATACATACCACTTACCTGTGCTATCCAATGAAGGTTTCTCTCGCCCTGGCACATCCTATGTTATTTCCATGGAAATCAATAAAATTCATTTTATTGATTGTACAAGAAGCAGCTGGAAGTAATTTTTGTCTTAAAATCAAACTGATGATTATTAACAGCATATAAATTTAAAAGTCAGAGAGATTTAAATGCTACATTTAAATGCTCTAAGTACACAAGTTGTGAACAAGGACATTCATAGGAAGAGGATAAAAAAAACTGAACACATCTGTTTTCTACAGCATTTTGGAACATATTGTGAAAACAATCAAGGGGGAAATGGAGGGAATACATCAGGTCTTCACAGGAGGATCCACATTTTTTCACTTCTCAGATCTACTGGAGGAAGGAATATAGGAGAGCTGCTGCTCAGAGATCTGAAGTGAGGGTGAAGGACTTTTTCAAGAGCACGCTTAGCTGCTCCATTTCACTGGCATGTATTTAAAGGATGGCCTAAAACCTGACTGTGACAGAACACAACTTGGACCCAAGCACAGAGATACATACACTTCCTATTCCAGGAGGACCAGTGCTGCGCTTTTATCTTTCTAAGAGAGAGGCAGGAAACAGTAGGGGCAGAAAGTTTAAGCATTATCCAGAAAGAAATAATTAGCTTAGTAACTAGCACTACTATGTACTTTTTATAGGATACAATATTTTAAATAAAAGTAGCTTTTCATTGTACTTTTGTCAATAATTCCACAAAATGAATAATTACGTTGTGTTGTCTTCCCCATACTTTTTTTTTCCCCCCCTATCACATTACCTGCTTAAATACAGCCACTTAGAGGAATATCTCTTAGAAGCCAAACTCATTGATTTGCTTCCTTGGCTCCCTATGAATAATCTTGTGAGATTTAAAAGCTTCTACCTCCTGTGTAAGGAATATATGCACTATAAAGAAGTTATTCACTCTGAAAACATTTGGCTCAGGAAAGATTCATATTTATAGATTTCAGTCTATTTGATTAATCTTTTGATTAATCTTTTTGATTAATCTTTTCTGCAAAAAAATGAATTAAAATGCCTTATCATAATCGTATGAAACAGAATAGGGAAGAGAATTACTTTGCCACCCTTCAGTTATTCATCATCATTAAACTGCATAGAAATGGATGAACCATATTTATGCCTAGATACAAAAACATACGTCAATGCTTACCACATTTCAATTTCACTCAGACCGCATGTGGATCTGTACACCACGCCTAACCTAGTTAAAACATTTTCCCTCCTCGATACAGGCAAAACTTATGTTCTGCAAGCACAGAATCTAGTAGAATCAAAAGTACTTCAAGCATACACTTGAATTCAGACACGGCCTTGGTCACACACAGTTTCTGAAACTTAGCTGATGCCTCATTTCTGTGGTAATTGGGCCTGCTGACGCAGTTTTCTGAAGTGATGTTACTTCACCTTAGAGAAAGTAAACTAGGTATCGTTGCAATCTATACAGATAACCAATTATGTAAGCTGGTCCTCTCTTGAAATTATTGGTATAGAACCAAACCAAGAGGACGAATTTGCAGAGCACTTTAAAGCTGCCTTTCTATGGATACCAACGTGTAAACTTCACTGAAGTGAAACAGCACATCTCCTTCCTGCAGTGAGGTAATGATACTGTTAAGAGCCTACCGTCTGGCCAAAAGCTCCAGGTATTCTAGAAGACAAACTGTGGGTTATACTACTACAAAAATATTTTTGTATATTATATAAATCACATCCTGCTTCCTTAAACACACATGCAATTAAAAATGACTTGTCCTTTTGTAGTAGCACCCTACCGTTACCAAAGTGAGCCAAGAGCTCACTGGTTCAGATTATTTCCTCTTTTTGTGAGTTCTTGGGTCGTCTCTGCATGCTTCCCCCTCTCCCCAAGTAGTCTGCAACAGCCATCTTCCACTTCCACAGTTTCGGTTTCTGACTGAAGGACAGTTCAGTCACCTGTTCTTTGGCAGTCACCTGTTTCAGATCTGTGGCCTTTCCACTAAATAAACAGTGGCGGGTCACACATTAACTACCTCTACAAAAAAAGAAAAAAGGGGGATATAATAATGAACGGTGGCACTGCTTGGCAGGGCTTCCTTCAAGTGACTGGCTAGTATATACAAGTTTAGTGTCTCAGCATGCCCTCAGAAGGGCAATGTGACCTACTTACTTGCAAGACCTCAAGGCCTGGGAATAACAGTGGACAAAAAAATACAGGCTGCACTCCAAGAAACGTAAGAAAGAGAGAGATTCTCTATGAATTTCATCCCTCAGAGAGCAACTGGGGGCTACTCCCTCTCCTCTGGG